TATTGACTATATGTCTTCCCATGAGAGTGATCTGATAGTGATCCATCAGTTACTTTGGGAAGCAGAGATAATACCATCATCTTCACTTCACATATTCACTGCCTGGCATTGAGTACCTAGAACCCCATGACACATGTTCTGTGGTGGTTATGTTCTGTGGAGTCAGTTCCGACTCATGGCAACCCTGTATAGGGTTTCCAAGGCTGTAAATCTTTACAGGAACAGAAAGCCTCATATTTCTCCCACAGAACCAGTATACTACCAGAGCTCCTTATTCTAATGTTTTTGTATTCTGCCTTTCAGCCAGTAAATATTATACGTCTATGTGTAGATTGACACAGTGGTTACAACAATGAGCTCAAATATGACAGCGATTTTGAGGATGGTGCAGGACTGGACAGTGTTTCATTCTGTTGTACATAGGGTTCACTGTGAGTCAGAAGTAACTCAGTGGCTCCTGTGATATCAAAACAACAACGTTTGTAACTTGTACTTCAGAAATGTGTGATGATTACATTAGGAGATGTAAGGCTCTCTGAAATCAAGTTTTCCAAGATAATTGCTTGCCTTGTTTTGTTAAGTAATAATGACACCGGTTTGCTTATTAAAATATGCCTACATAATTATGCATTCTTTATAGTAATCTTATCCAATTATCTTTTCACTTTTTTAAAAGTAGCAGTTCCAAAATTGAGAATTCCCCTTTGCTTACGTCCAAATGATAACTATAGATGGCAGTACAAAATTTCTGGTGACCTAGTTTTTATTTTGTTTTTCAATACATTTTCCCGCATTTCAGAATAGTTTTAGATTTACAGAAAAGTTGCAAACACAGTACAGAGAGTTCCTGTATACCCTACATCCAGCTTCCCCTATGGTTAACATCTTACATGATTTTAGTACCTTTGTTACAACTAGTGGACCAGTATTGAAACATTATAATTAACTAAAGTTCATACTTTTATTTGCTGGTGACCCAGTTTTACAGCTATTTTCTCACAGTCTCTAAAAAGTTGCAGCTTTTCAGATTCTTAAAAGAAACTAAGTAACTTTGTAGATGGCAGGGATGATGAACGCAGTTAGTAGGATTGGATGATAGAATTCTTGCTTTCCATGTTTGATTCCCGGCCAGTGTACCTCATGCAAAGTTACCACCAATATGTTGGTGGAGGCTTGTGTGTTGGTATGTTGCTGAACAGGTTTCACTAGAGTTTTCAAACTAAGACTGCTAAGGAGAAAGTAAGTCCTGGTAATTTGAAAAAATCAGCCAAGAAAACATAATGGATCACAATGGTCTTTGTCTGCTGTACGTGGTTTTGCTGAGTTGAGGACTGACTGAATAGCAGCAAGCAACAGCAACAACTTTGTAACCAATAGGTCATCTCAGGAAGTAAGATACTTGTAGTAGTATGAGTTTAAAACTAGAGTAGGGGAATTTTATAGCTTGGAGCTTTTTGTACATTTAACATGGTATTCAAGTGTATCCGGTATTGAAAAGATGGCAGAGTGGAGTTTGATGACTATGTTAGCTGTTTTTGTGTTGCCTGGGAAATAGGATGCTACAACATGGCTTACCCGTCATAGATAGTCTTTCTATCCTCAAACAGAAAATAGCCATTCTGGTATAAGAAATGAGCCCTCCTGGGACTGAGATGGGATTTTAGCACATAGAATAAGTAGCCAAGGACTCAGAGACTAATTTTTACAGTTTATATAAATTCAACCTATTTCTTTTCCCTAGGACTGTCCAATTGAAGGTTAAGTTATATAATGGGACAGTGTACTAGAGATATGGTTATTTTGTTGTTTCAGTGATGCCTTTTAACCAGCTTTAATGCTGTCCTGGGTAAAGTAAAAACTTCATCCTTTTTCTCTTTTGGGGATTTTCTAATTTGGGATCCTCAAAGTAGAAAAAGAAGCAGTGGAGCCACACTGCTGCCTATCTATAGACTGCTTTTATTAAATTGCCCTCAGTGATCCTCCTCCAATCTCTTTTTTGGTACTGTATTATTTGAACCCAAAAATAAATAAAAATTGTACTGAAATCAAAACTTCAAATTATTTTAATGAACCTCTGGAAACATTCTAAACCGTAAGAGATATTGTTTCCTAGTTAATTTTTTTTAATTATAGAAAGTAGGTCATTAGAAATACCCCTTTAGTTGGTTTAATAAGAAATGGAAAAGTCTAGGACTAGCTCAATTTGAATTGCAGATTCAAATAAGAAGCACATAAGGATTTGAATTTAAATAAGATGCATGTAATCATAGCCTATAATTTCTTCTTGAACAAAATGTATATACCAAGAAGGAGGCCTCAGTGTTAGAGCCTGTCAATACATAGAGGAAAACATTTTCCCTGAGATACTGTGGTGCTTGCGTGTTGCTCTGCTGGAAGCTATGCTACCGGTCTTTCAAGTACCCATGGTGGACTGGTTTCAGCAGAGCCTCCAGACTAAGACAGACCAGGAAGGCAGGGTTTGGTGATGTACTTCCTTCCACAAGTTAGCCAGTGAAAGCCCTGTGGATCACAATAGACTAATGTCCCATGTGGTGCTAGAGATGGAGCCCCCTCGGTTGGAAAAGCCCTCTGAGCACACTGGCTGCCACAGTGGACTTGAGCCTGATTGTGAGCCACAGTGATTGTGAAGATGGTGTAGGAGCAGACACCATTTTGTTCTTTTGTGCAGAAGGTAGCCATGAATCAGCCGACTTGACAGCCAGCTAGCAATAATCTAATCTCTGACCAGGAAATATTTTTAGAACTGTTTTTCAAATGGTATAACTAAAAATACTATTTACAGGACTGTACTAGGTAGGCCTTGAATAAAGTAGTCTGTGCTCAAGTAAGTTTAGAAAATAGGTCATTAACTATAAGGTGTTTCCAGAGTTTCTAAGAGATGGTGTATATAGGGTACAGTGCTCTTTAAATTTATTCTGTCGAGCTCTGGTAGCGTAGTGGTTACGAATCGGGCTGTGAACCTTAAGGTCAGCAGTTCGAAACTATCAGCTGTTCGACAGAAGAAAGATGAGGCTTTCTGCTCCCGTAAAGATTTACAGCCTCAGAAACCCTATACAGGGTCGCTATAAGTCGGAACTGACTCCACGGCACATAATAACAACAACAACAACAACCTGGTAACATTTCTCAGGAGGAAATTGAATATGCAGATTTGATCTACTCTAGGAGTTTATACCTTTGAAAATGTTGAGGGTGTTTTTTCTCAGTTATTGTACTGATGTGATATGCAGATATGTTGCTTACCTCCAATTCTGTACCTTCACAGTATTTTTCCAAAGTGTGCTATCAAGTTGTTGTATCTAGCCCTTGAAGAAAACAGCAGCATTGGCTTTCACTGACCCTAGGAGATGACATGCTGGCTACAATCTAATGTGAAACTCTTGCTGTTGTCAGTTAAGAAAAACATAATACTCCTAAATAGCTTTTTTGGTCACCTTTCCAATAAGGAAGTACTGTATATATAAGATGGTTTGTAAGACTGGACTCCTGGTAGTGTGGCGCTATAGGGTCAGCACTAGACCGTAAGGTCAGTTTGAATTGAAGGGTTAGCAGTTCAAACTTACCAGCTGTTCCTCAGAAACCCTTTACAGGGTTGCTATGAGTTGGAACAAGCTCCATGGCACTTAACAGCAACAACAACATATATAAGACTACTTTTTGTTTGTATCCAGTTTTGAATATTTCCCTTGTGGGTGTTGTTTTATTTACAATTTTAAAAACAAACACTAGATATTTACTGTGTCATGTAAGAATATATTTCTCACATCTTCTTTCCAATAATGGATAGGAGATAGGTCAGGATTGCATCTCATTTACATTTTGATTTTTTGTGAGTATTGGTAATAGGTATTCTTTTAGAATTATGGTTATATTCTCTTCCTGATAAAACAGTTCCATATTCCTGGAAATCCTCTTTCATCCTAAAAATATAGCTGACAATACAAGAGCACAGGGACAATATAAATAATAGCTAATAGTAAGAGACTACTAGTCTTTACATATCTTGATTGAATTTTAACAATAACATGAAACCACTAATTAAAAGTAGAAAATAAAAAGTTTCTGCCAGGATTGAAAATTTAATTTGGATATTCTTGCCAATGCAATAAGACATAAAACAAAAATAAAAAGTTATGGTTATTTCAAAGTGGAGAAAAACTTTTCATTGTTTGCCAGTCAATTTATATACTTTGAAAACTTTAGAGAAGTAGAAAAATAAAACTACTATGTTTAATAAGTTGATTAGATATGGGAAGTATACACAGTTCTTTTATATACAAACATGGTTTGATGTATATATAGTCTTATGTCTGTTTTGTTTCTTTCTTTTTTTTTTTTTTTACCGTATTGACTGGTTGGTTAGGTATTAAATAGATTAAGATTGCATTGCCAGGTAAGAGAATCAGCAAAGACTAATGCAATGCAAGAGCCAAGACCTTTATTTGAGTTTGGTAGTAATGGAATTAAAAATAGAGGGAAAGCATATTTTGCTGCAAAGCAATTTTGTTAGTTCGTTTTCAGAGCTGTCATTATTTCCACTGGCGACTTTGTTTCTTTGGGCCCTGCTTTCCAAACTACTGCCTCTGAGTGTGTGAGTTACTCATTTGGCTTTAAGTTGAATTAGTGACTCTGAGTGGAGAGTCATAAAACAGTTGATGATGTATAAAATATAAAATTCACTGAGTTCTTACTTATTAAACTAGGCAACTCTAGCATTGGGTTGTTGTCAAGTGCCATTGAGTTAGTTCTGATTCATAGCAACCTTCTATTATAGGGTATCCAAAGAACGATTTGTGAGTTTGAACAGCCAACCTTGCAGATCAAACCAACCTTGGGGTCCAGTGTGTTATTCTGCAGCACCATACCAGGATATAGGCCCTGTGTGCTACAAGACCATTTGTATTGCTACGTTTCTCAGTGTGTCCCCACACCAGTCTCACTGCCTTCATTCATGGGCTTCCCTTTATGCTTCTTTATAGATATGAAATCTACACAGCCAAGCACCACAATGTTTCTCCTGTATGACATGTGATGAGGAGGAGAGTTTGGCTTCGGAGTGCTCGGAACCTGAGGCATTGCTGAGGACTTGGAGTCCAGCCCTGACCACCAGCAAGCCCACAACACCATGAACAAATTGAACTTTCATAACAACAGAGTCATGCAGGACCGCCGGAGTGTGTGTATTTTCCTTCCCAATGATGAATCTCTGAACATCATCATAAATGTGAGTAAATCCACCTGTGGGTTTTCTTAATTGCTGTTAAATCAGTTCTGACTCACTGGAACTACTCCATGGAGTTTTCAAGGCTGTTACTTTTCAGACCCATATCGCCAGGTCTGTCTTCAGACACGTCTCTGAGTGGATTTGAACCGCCAACCTTTGGATTAATAATCCAGCACTCAGCCATTTGTTCGACCCCTATTCCTAGACCCAACTTCGTTGTTATTATTGTTGTTGCTGTGTCCCGATGAATCCATTTTGCCTCAGAGTGACACTGTATAGGATTTCCAAGAACAGCTGTTGATTTGAACCACCAACTTTGTAGTTAGCAGTCCTACAGCACCACACCAGGACAGAAATGTTTACATAGTTTGTTCCTGCAAGTGACCACATTCAATTAAATGACTTTTAGTTACGAGTGAAATATGTACAGTATGTTGTTGTCATGGTTGTTAAGTGCCATCGAGTCAGTCATGACACATAGCAACCCTGCATAGGGTTTCTGAGGAGCAGCTGGTGGGTTTGAAACACCGACCTTGTGGTTCAACCTAACCTTGAGGTTCGTGCTTACTCTACAGCTCCATACCAGGACTTCATTTACAGAATAAAACAAATAGTATTGTTGTAGAACTGATGTGTGACATTTGTTCTTAGGTGCCTTGAGTCAGTTCTGACTCCTAACAGCCCTTATGCACATCAGGACACACTGCCTGTTCCTGCACCAGCCTCACGGTCATGGTTTTGCCTGAGCCCATTGCTGTTGTCACTGTGCCAGTCCATCTCATTGGAGGCCTTCCTCTTTTTCACTGACCCTCCACTTTACCAAGCATGATGTCCTTCTCCAGGGATTGGTCCCTCCTGATAATATGTCGAAAGTTTGAGAGACAAAGTCTGTTCATCCTGGCTTCTAATGAGCATTATGACTGTACTGCTTCCAAAAAAATTTTTGTTATTCTGAAAGTCTCATGATAACTTTAAATATTCTTCTCCAACACCATAACTGAAATGCATCAATTCTTCTTTGTTTTTACTTATTCATTGTCCAACTTTCATTTGTATATGAGATTACTGAAAATACAATGGCTTTGGTACGGTGCAACTTAGTCCTCAGCTGACATCTTTACTCCAGAATGCTTTAAAGAGGTCTTGTGCAACAGAATTGCTGATGCAATACATCATTTGATTTCTTGACTGCTAAGCAAAATGAAGTCTTTGACAACTTCATTGTTTTCTCTAAATATCTTGTTATTTATTGATCCAGTGTGAGGATGTTGGTTTTCTTTACATTGAAGTGCAACTCAGACTGAAGGCTGTAGTCTTTGATCTTCATTAGTACGTATTTTAAGTCCTTCTTGCTTTCAGCAAGCAAGGTTGTATCATCTGCATATCGCAGGTTGTTAATGAGTCTTCCTCCAATCCTGATGCTATGTTTTTCTTCATATAACCCAGCTTCTCAGATTATTTGTTCAACATACAGATTGATTAAGTATGATGAAGGAATACAACTGGTGCCCACCTTTCCTAATTTTAAACCATTAAGTGTTCCCTTGTTCTGTTCAAACAAGTGTTTTTTAGTGTATGTATAAGCTCCTCATGAGCACAATTAAGTGTTCTGTAATACCCATTCTTCACAATGCCATCCATAGCTTACCATGATCCACATAGTTGAAAGCCTTTGCATACTTGTCCATAAAGCACAAATATACATCTTTCTGGCATTCTCTGCTTTCCCACTTGAACCTCTGGAAGTTCCCTGTGGATGTACTGTTGTAATCATTTTTGAATAATATTCAGCAGAATTTTGCTTGCATATGATATTAATGATATTGTCTGATGATTTCCACATTCCATTCCATCACCTCTCTTTGTAATGGGCACAAATATGGTTCTTCCAGTAATTTTTTCAATTTCCTTTAGCATCTCTACACTGGAGTCAAATTTCAGAGTCTCTTTTGGCATCCATTTTTGTCTTTTCCTTCTTTTTTTTGTCTTCGTAGTGACCTTTTGCTTTCTTCCTATGTGATACTCTTCATATCATCACAAGTCTTCCAATCTGTTCTGTAGATAGTATCTAAATTCACATGGAATATATTCAAGGTCATATTTTGGCTCTCATATACTTATTTTAATTATCTTCAGGTTCAGCCTGAATTTGCATAAGAGCAATTGATGGTTTGTTCCACCGTCTGCTCCTGGCCTTGTTTTGGCTGATGCTTTGGAGCTTTTTCACCATCTCATCCCATAGATGTATTCAGTATGATTTTTGTGTATCCCAACTGGTTAGTTCTGTGTTGTTAAGTGACACTGAGTCTGTTCCAACCCATAGCCACCCTCTATAAGGTTGCCAAGGAGCAGGTGGTAAGCTTGAACCACTAACCTTGTGGTTCAAATGATTTTTCAGACCAGCACATTTACGTACAGTTCCACACAAGAAATCCATGTGTATATTGTATAGTCACCTTTCATGTTTTTTAAAAAGGTATTTGCAATGAATAAGTCATTGGTCTTAGAAAGTTCTGTCATACTGTCTCTAGCATTGTTTCTCCACCAAGGCCATGTTTTCAGCTACTGATCCTTCCTCTTTGTTTCCAACCTTTGCATTCCAATCACTAGTAATTATCAGTACATCTTGACTATATGTTTGATTAGTATCAGATGGAAGAAGTTGGTAGAATTGGTTGGAGCATAAATTTGAATACTAGTGGTATTAAACTGGTCTTCCTTGTAGACATATCAATATTATCCTGTCACAGACAGCATTATACTTCAAGATAGATCTTGAAATGTTCTTTTTGATGATGAATGGTACTTTGTTCCTCTTCAAATTGTTATTCCCAACAGAGTAAACCATATGACTGTCAGATTCAAAATGGCCAATACCAGTCCATTTCAGCTCACTATTGCCTAGAGTGGAGTTCTGGTGTGGTGCTGCAGGACAATGCGCTGGACCGCAAGGTCGATTTGAATCACAAGGTCAGTGGTTCAAATGCAGCAGCCACTCCTTGGAAAACCTACACAGGGCTGTTGTGAGTGGGAATCGACTCGATGGCACTTAACAATAACAACAATGCCTAGGGTATTGATCTTTATATGTTCCAGTTCATTTTGACAACTACCAGATTTCCTAGAGTTGTACTTTGTACATTTCATGTTCCTAATATTGACAGATGTTTAGTGCTGTTTCTCCTCATTTTGAGTTGTGCCCATCAGCAAATGAAGGTCCCAAAATATTGACTCTATTTTCATCATCACAGTCTACTTTACTTTGAGGAAACAGCTCTTCCTCAGTTGTATTTTGAGTGCCTTCCAGCCTAAAGGATTTATCTTCCAGCACTATTATCTAACAGTATTAAGGAGACCTGGTAGCGTAGTGGTTACGAATCGGGCTGCGAACCTCAGGGTCAGCAGTTCAAAACTACCAGCTGTTCCGCAGGAGAAAGATGAGGCTTTCTGCTCCCGTAAAGATTTACAGCCTCGGAAACCTTGTACAGGGTCGCTATGAGTCGGAACCAACTCTACGGCACATAACAATTCTGTTGTTATTCGTAGTGTTCCAATATTCAACATTTTGGTACGGTCTGACAGTGTTCCACTGCTAATTATAAGGTTTTCAGTGACTTAACATTCAGAATTAGTCTGCCTGCCTGTCTTCCTGATCTCTCTTAGTCTGGAAGCTACATTGAAACCTGTCCACCATGAGTGACCCTGCTGGTATTTAAAGTACCGGTGACATGGCTTCCAGAATCTCAACACAAAAGCCAGCTTAGTACGACAGACAGACAGACGAGTGGTGGTGTTAAAGTAGTCTTGCACGTTTTTTCAAGAACTATATAATGGGATCAAATAGACAACAGCAATTTGAAAATTTCGATAGGAATTTTATGGAACAGTGAATTTATGTTTATGGGGGAGGAACCGTTTAGAAACGGAGGGTAAGAATGGCTGCACAACTTGAAGAAGGTCATATTGTTAGTGGATTGTACATGTAGAAATTGTGACTCAGTGTGCTCAGCTCTGTATATTTTCAAAAATAGCAACAAAAAATTACATAAAAAATAACAATCCTTAGTGGCTGGTGTAGGTACAGGATAGGCAAACCAACTACCAGGGAAACGTTTCTGACCCATGAGTAATCCTATAGAGGTTTTCCAAGACTGTAAATCTTGTGGGAGCAGAGAGCCTAATCTGTATCCTGGAGACAATTTGGTGGGTTTGAACTGCTGACCTTGTGATTCGCAGACTAGTGCTTATCCTACAGTGCCACCAAGGCTATAAAACAGAAACAAAAACAAACATCCATTATTTAAATTTAGAATTTTAAAAGCAAATTTATATTGTACTTCATTAAAAATAATATTTCAACAAAATGTCCTGATGTGGAACTGTAGGATCAGCACAGACTGCTAACCACGAGGTTGATGGTTCAAATGCAACTGCCATTCCTTGGAAACCGTATACAGAGTCACTTATGTGAGTCAGAACTGAGTCAACTGGCCTTAACAATAACAAACTCGGAATTATGGCCTAAAAAGTAACTGCCTTCAACATGGAGAGATGGTGTGGCTGGGGACTTTGGATCCAGAGGAGGAGAGGGGCTGTGTGCTGACGAACCAGGGCCAGGCTTGTAGTGCCAACCCTTTGATTGTTTAATGATGCATGGAGGGGATTGTAACCATGGCAAGGAAACGATATAAGATAGGATCAATGTGAAGCTAATGTTCTCCCATGTAAACTATCGCATAATTCACAATAAAGCAATTTAAAAAAAAAAAGTAACTGCCTTCAACATTCTTTTGCCTTGTGTAAAATTAGAGAATTCTGATTGCTATCATATAGAAAAACAAACACTTGCTATTTTTAGTCTTTATATTGAAATATAATTCTTATTGAAGTATAATATTAATTTGCTTTTAAAATGCTTCAAGTTCTTACCCACCCATGAAATGCTAATAGCTGCTTACTTTATATGTGTCTTGATTGTAGCTTGATTGTAGCTTTGTTGT